TGCATTTGCATTAACGATATGGATGAGGTTACAAGGTTGTAGCCGCTCCAAAGTTGCAAAACATAGTTAAGTTTTCTCTTTTTTGTAACAACCAGGACTGCTAGTACGAACATTGTTATTAATAAACTTTGCAAGATAAACGAATAACGAGACGAGATTCCAAAGTCTGACGATAAAACAAAAATGACGGGATTTTGTAGAGGTAATCCTAGATAGGCGGGAAGGTCGGGCGAATATGGCTCGGAAATGGTTGCGATTGGACCGGGTGCGATTAATGCGTGGTTTAGGGCGACAAAATAGGCTGATCCAAACTTGGTCCTCGGATTGCACTTGTTGTACTGCGAGTACATTAACACAGAGTGAGTTCAATAACTGAACAACAAGACAATGACTCTCAAGCTATGATTTTGTAGTTTTTTTACTTATAATCTACGTGTTGTACTTTGTGTGACACATAAGTTTGGGTTTGCTATGTCAACCTATGTATGTCATTGTTGAGCCCATCCAATAAAAAATTACCTCGTTAACACGATATAGAGCAGTTCGATCCCCATGGGCCCACCCGCCCGCGCTCGCTCGCTCGTACTCTGTTACCCGTAGTGCCCCGGCACCCCTTAACGCGGCGCTTCCCTTAGTCGAATCGCGCACTAGAGATAGACCCCCGCGGGTCCCCCACGTCGCGACCTAGGAAGGCCCCCGCGGGCCCCCAGAATCGCGAGCTAAAAGTGCGGAGATAAACTCTACAACGGGAGCTAGACTATGGGGAAGGCACGGTTGTGAGAGGGATCGCAGCGTTCCTAAGCGCCGGATCATGCTCCGACTTCCACACCTCCAACGACATGGTCGCGTAGAACACCACGTCCGACGTAGTGACCACCTTATTGCCGTTGCGACTGAGGACCTCCCAACCCTTGCTCTCCGCCGTCACGCCGAGGTGAAGGCCCCACCTGCCTTTGGCAATAGCTTTCCGCCGCGTTGCTGCTCGGGGACCAGGAACTGCACCGTGCATCCCCACACGCGCGCCAGCGTCATGTCGGGCTTCTTGCCGGTCAGCAGCTGGTGCGGTGTCGTCCCCGGCGTGCAGGTCGACGAGTTGGCCGACCTGCACATGGCCACTGCGGACGCCGCCAACGACTGGGAGCCGGTGGCCGACCTTACTTGGTGGTCGACAAAAAGAGGGGGGGGGGGGGGGGGCACCGACGTCGACCTGGACAAGGGAGTTGGGCGTCGAGCAAGGCCGAGCAGTGGGCCAGTGGGTCGACATGGGAGAGACGCCGGGCATCGACCAGCTGGCGCTGGGTTTGGGCACGCCGGTCTTGCGTGGCCGGTGATTGACAGGGTTAGCCGACCAGGCATGGTCGCCTGGTCGACCGAGTTATCCGGGCGATGTGTGCGAGTTTCGCCGTGGTGGTTTCTGCGTGGCCGACCTCGGAAGTGGTATTCCGAGGTCGAGGTGGAAACAACACACGCACCAAGACTGGAAACACTGGTCTCTACTCGTGCAGCTGGGAAAGGTCATAGACAAGGTACGTGAAACTCAACAGGTGCAGTATTGCGCTGGCGAAGACGCGACGGCCAGTGCGTTGTAATAGCGTGTGGACCAAAACGCTCACAGTAGAGGTCGTCGATTCGACGGTAGCAGCTGGACGCAGTGTGGTCAGTACTCCAGCAGGTAGTGCCAGCACTAGGGCTTATCAGGGCCCGGTACCCGCAGGGGCCGACGTTTCGCCCACTCCTAGCTGAGCCACTACTGGGGGCGCCACACTTTGGACCTGCAGGCCCTCAATGACGGGAGTGCTGCGGCTGGCCCTGCAGCTGTAGAACCCTAGTATACGCCATGTGAGCCTATGCTGCTGCTGGTTCTGCTGGGGGCAGCCTAAGCTGCTGATGGTGCGCTGGCGGTAGCCTAAGCTGCTGTTAACGTAGTAACGGAATAATGAATGACTACAAATGACAAGGACAAGTAAGATATAGCAATCCCTGGTCAACCCTAGCCAACCCTAAACATAAGTGTACACCACCTAGACTAGCAAATACAAACCATAACAATTATAGTTTGACAGCTGCTGCTCGAGCGCTGGGGCAGCCTACGTTGCTTCTGGTTTTGCTGGGGGCAGCCTAAACTGCTGCTACTGGTGCTGCTGGTGGAGGGTTTCAGCTCTTGAGGCAGAGGATGCAGGTCGTGGGGGAGCAGCTCTGACTGGTACAGGTGGGGCAGCAGGTGCGGTTCTGTGCGGTTTTGTGCAGTTCAGTGAGGTTCTGCGCGGTTCTGTGCGGCTCTATGCAGTTCTGCGGGCTGGAGAGTACCGGGTGGGGCGGCTGATTCCGGGTGAGGTGACTGGAACGGGTGGGGGAGCAGCTCTGGCTGGAACGGGTGGGGCAGCGGGTGCGGTTCTGTGCGGTTCTGTCCGGTGGAGAGTACTGGGTGGGGTGGATGATTCTTTGTGAGGTGACTAGAACGGCGGGTGGGGTTGCAGATATGGCTGGGGCGGCGGGCTACAGGTCTGGGGTGGCTGTTACCAGGTGGGGCGGTTAAAACAGCGGGCTTCAGTTCTTGGGGCGGCCGATTTCTAGTGTGGCGGCGGTTTTCTGCAGCAGATCGCGGGTGAGGCGGCGGCTAACAGATCGGGCGGGGGGTAAGGCAGCGGGTGGGGCCGCGTCTAACGGGTGGGGCGGCGGTTACGAGGGTGGGGAACGGGTGGGGCGACGGGTCGCTCATTCGCGCGGCTGCTGTTGTGCGTGGGTGTGACTAACGACGAGGCCGCGGGGCCGCTAACGAAGGGGCCTCGGGGCCCACGGTCGAAAGGCCGCGGGGCCCGCTAACGAAGGGCAGCGGGGCCCGCTAACGAAAGGCCGCGGGGCCCGGTAACTAACTGCCGCGACGGGTGACGGGAAAAAATCTGGCCGCGAACGACGGGGGGAAACGAGCGACGGGCGACAGGCGACGGGGGGGGGGGGGGGTCTACGGCCGACGGGGTCCTAAGGTAAGCGCGCTTCGGGCGGTCTAGGACGGGACGCGACTAGGTGGGCCCATAACTTAGTCGAGTGATTTTTCCTAAGGGGGAAAAACTCGCTCGGGTTAACCTAGCTCTATACCATGTCACAATGTAAAATTGACTAAAACAGAAAGTACAGACAAGATATATGCAAAACCTAACCCTAGTGCAAGTACAAAATAACACAAGAGAGAACACCAAGACTAGAACTACACAAACTATAGAATTATAGTTTGACAGGATCGCCAGCGTGCAGTACTCGACGATGTCGTACGTCACGCATGTCCTGAAGGGCTCTCGAGCAGCTACAACCTGATGAAGTGGCTGTCGATGGTGCCAGGCACGAAGGCGTTGCTCAACGAGGACTCCTTGACCTCGTACATCCTAAGGGACGAGGTGATACAGGAGGCGGAGCGGTCCTTGGAGCTCCTGCCACAGGTGAACTACCGGCAAAGCAAGGTGGCCGACCGGGGGAGCATGGGCAGTCTGGCGGCAGTGGAAGCAGTAGCAGGAGGCCGGCGAAGCACGCCGACAAGAAAACGTCGGCTCAGGATGGAGGTCCTGGAGGAGGAAGTCGACATTGGGAGGGTTTGATCTGCCACAGCCCCGACCATCTCTCCTTCGAGTGCTTCGACCGATGTGACTCCGACGACGACGACGCCAAGTGAGGCCGCGAGAGGTCGGCCAGCCATCGTCCACGCCAGGACAGAAGGTCGCGCAAGGAGAAGCAGTCGAACAAGTCGACCTCTGCGAAGGACGCCGACTCCTCTTCTGGTGGCAAGGGGCGAGACGACAAGGAGGCGTCATGCTTGCTGGTCGGTGTTGTGAAGTCGACCAGGCTGGTGAGGACTTCCAGGCAGTGGCTGCAGCTGTGCAGGAAAACTCGGCGGTCCTGCTTGACAGAAGTTGCTCGCACCACGTGATGGGGACAAAGGACGCCTTCGTCGACTTGGAGCCAAGCGGAGACGTCAAGCACGTGCACGGCTTCAGCTGTAGGACGTCCAGGTCCGAGGCACTGTTGCACTACAAGGGGAGGCCGGCAAGCAGGTGATCATCTTGACGTGCTCTACGTGCCAGGCATGCAGGCGGACCTCTTGTCAGCCGGCCAGCTGAAGGAGAACGGCGTGAAGCTGCAGGAGGACGTGGATGGGGATGCTCATTGTCTCAGCGGCGGAAGACGTGCTTGGTCGGGTGACGTATACCGGCCGGGTCCTCTGAGCCGACCTTCGTCCCTACCCGGTGACGTCGACGATGGCCACGGCGGCGGTGGTGGCTCTGCAGGCGATCGTCCCAGCGACGAAGTCGACGCCGGGGAGGTGGCACGCGCGGCTTGCGCATGTCTGCGTCGACACCATCACGAGCTCGGCTAAGCACAAGGTCGCCACCGGCCTGGACATCAAGCCGTCGCCCGGCAACGACTCTCCGTGTGTTTTGTGCGTCGGTGGGAAGCTGGCGCGGCATACCTTCCCCGACAAGGGCTCTGACGCCGAAGACGCGCTGGTCGTCGTGCACATCGACCTGTGCGGGCAGTTTCGGGTGGCGGCCAAGGACAGGAGCCTGTACTTCTTGCTGCAGAAGGACCGCAAGACCTGCTACGTGGGTGAGGCCGGTCCATAAGAAGTCTGACGTACTGCGGGAGTTCTCGAAGTGGCTGGCGGTGGTTGAGCGGCAGGCAAAGAAGTCGGTCTTGATGCTGCGTTTTGACCGGAGAGGAGAGTTCCTTTGAAAGGAGTTCACCGCCTTCGTGGACGGCAAGGGGATCGTCCACGACTCGACCTACCCCTACACCCCGCAACAGAACGGCATGGCGGAGCGGGAGATGTGGACGGTGGTGGAGTCGGAGCGAGCAGCACCACCAATGTTGATGCTCTGCTCAAGTCAAGGAACAGCTCATTCAGGTACACCAAGGCGGCCTCTCTTTCCCTATCTTGTGCCTCTCTCCCGAGACCAAGACGACCCTCTGAGCTCTCATGCTATAGCTGTGCTGTTCCCATGCTGGAGCATATGGGGCCGGGAGATGTAGGGCGATGGATTGGGGGGGTGGGGTGCAGGGGGTGCAGGGGGTGCAGGGGGAGGGGACAATTTCAAGAGGGGGCTGTAGACTCATACTTTGGTGGCATTAGTTGAATCTCTTACCAATCTGCCCTCCACCCACATCCTATCCTCCTCCCACTTCCACACCCCATTCTCTCCACTCCCCTCTCCCGCCCAGCTCCCCCTCCCCTCGTCATGTTGCCCGGTTTCCAATTCCCTCACGGATGGGCTTTGGCAGGATGCATTGCATGGGGACAGCAAGGCAGGAGCACCAGCAGGCTCAGCGGTGCGGGGGAACGAGGGGGGCGAGCAGCAGGCGTGCGAGGGCAGGGGGCTGTCTCTGGAGCAGTTTGAGGTGGTGCTGCGGCGAGTGGAGGGGCAGATGAAGACCCTGCCACGGCACGGCACTGGTGGCGGCGCAACAGGGGCAGTACGTGGCGCGCTGCTTTAACCGCCTGCTGGACCCTGCTTTAACCGCCTGCTAGACCCTCTTTAACCGCCTGCTAGACCCTGCTTTAACCGCCTGCTAGACCCTGCTTTAACCGCCTGCTAGACCCTCTTTAACCGCCTGCTATACCCTGTTTTAACTGCCTGCTAGACCCTCTTTAACCGCCTGCTAGACCCTGCTTTAACCGCCTGCTGGACCCGGGGTTGACGCCCGAAGGGCCGCACAGGCTGCGAGGGGAGGGCGGGCACCTGCTGCAGCCGTTCCGGTTAGTGGAATGGGGTGGGTGGTAGGGTTGGTGGTGAGATGGGATGGCGCAGCAGGGGCCGTACGTGGCTTGCTGCTTCAACCGCCTGCTGGACCCGGCTTTAGCGCCCGAGGGGCCGCCCAAGCTGCGAGGTGAAGGCAGGCACCTGCTGCAGCCTTTCCAGTGAGCAGAAGGGTGGGACGGGTGGTGGGATGGGATGTGGTGGAGCTGGTTTCGATTATCGTTATTGTTATTATCATTACTACTATTTTCATTATCATTATTACTCTTGTATTTTTTTCCATGAATGTTTATTATTATTACATTCAGTCTTATGGACGTTTCTTAGTGTTCATCAACGCTCTTCGGAATCAGGTTCAATTGGAAAAGGAAGCAAGAGGAAGTGGTACTGGCGGCCTTTCCGACAGAATTCTGACAATCTGCCAATCTCTCACGCATCTACCTGACCAATGCTTCATCTGTTTCAACTGCCCTCTTTATCCGAACTGCTCGATCTGTGCTGATTGTTTCTCACCCTCCCGCCCCCCTCCCTCCACGCATCCAGCTACGTGCATTTGGGGCAGTTCGCCCTGCTGGGGTCGGAGACCACAGCAGCAGAGCTGCCTATCTATCCCAACTGCTCTCTTTGTGCCAATTGCTTGTCACCCTGCCCCCCGACATGCATCCAGCTACGTGCATTTGGGGCAGTTCGCCCCTCTGGGGTCGGAGACCACAGCAGCAGAGCTGCCGGGCGACTGCGTCAGCATTGGCAGGTCCACACAATGGCTCCGGTACTCCGTGTATGCCAGGTGGGTGTGCTGTGCAGTATGGGGGCATGCATGTGCTTTGATTGGAGGTCCACACAGTGGCTCTGGTACTGCGTGTACGCCAAGTGGGTGTGCTGATGATGACGTGTATGAGTTGACCGCTCTGGTACTCCGTCTACGCCAGGTGGGTGTGTTGTCCAATACTCTGTGTACGCACGCACTTAGGTGTGCTGTGCAATTAGGGTGCATGCATTCCTGTGCTTGGGTAAGAGACTCATGAAACGTGGAGCTGTCTGGCGACTGGGTCAGCATAGCGTTGGCAGGTCCACACAGTGGCTCTGGTGCTCTGTCTACGCCAGGTGGGTGTGCTGTGTATTAAGGGAGCATGCATTCATATGCGTGGACTGGAGTCTCTTAATCCTAGCAGCAGAAATGCCGCAGCACCTCACTTACCTATGTTTCCCCGTGTCTCACTCTCCTTGCAGTAAGCAAGTCAGTGCGAGGACAAGAGCCCTGGTGGTGTTTGATTGGATCAAATCGGCTCTGTTTGGCCGTGATTCAAGTCGCATGTGAATTCCGGACTTGCTTGATACTTTAGTTTGATTGGTTGGTTAATACTTCGCTGGTACTTGCTAGCTGTATGGGGTAAACCCTGCACTTGCGTTTGTTGCTCAATTGTTTGGCAAGTAAAATCTCGTGTGCTATATTGTGAACGCATCCTCATACGGTACGTAACGTAGTAACTGGTGAGCCCGAAACAAACAAGGTGTAGTCCAGTTTGGTATTTGACATGGTACCCAACCAACTAGTTCCTTGGTGGTTACAACAGAAGGGATTGCATAACCCAATCACGATCGCGTACATCATCTCACAATACTGAGCAGGCACACTCAATGGCCTCACTTGGTGGTGGCATAACAAGAATCACTGTGGAAGCATGCATGGATGGACCGCACTGCATCTGCCCGATGCACATGAAAACCATGTACAACTACAGCCCATGCTCTCATGCACTGCACATGAATGCATTTCCCTAAAATGCATCCACCTGCAAGCAAGCATCCTAGCCGCCAGCCAGCATGCACGGTCATACAAGAGTGTCAATGAGAGAGGCGCGCATTTCATGCACCACGCTGGGAGCCACGCTCTCTCGCAGCTTGAACACGCTGTCAATCACTGACAGCTCTGTGGCTGTCGTGTCAAACCCTGCAAATGCCACCCAGTCGTTTGCCACGAGCCCCGCCCCCACCACCTCACTGCCGCGGTTCACTGTGCCGGCCACCAGCGGCACTTGGAGCAGCGATGACAGCTCGTCAAGGTCTTCAACTGATGTTTGCGGGTGCACCTGGTGGTGGAAAGGTAGTGGTCGCACACACACACACACACACACACACACACACACACACGGGGGCTGTAAGCATAAGCATAGGCTGACCATGGACTTGGGACCATCCATGCGCAGGAGATGTACGCGCGAGCGAGCTACTCCAACAATACAATACACAAATTTTGTAGGCACCTAAAAAATAGGTGGGTAGAGACGACTTTTGAGGCGCCTCAAAAGCCGTGCACAGGAGATGTACGCGCGAGCCACTACAACAATACAATACACCAGCACGACTTTTGAGGCGCCTCAAAAGAAGACACAATACACCAGCATGTGAGTACGGGTAGGTGCAAGAATAGGCAAGGCCACGGCTGTTGTGAAACATGGTGCTACAGACTGGCCGTGCACTGGAGTGGCATGGAGACGAAGCAGCGGGACGGAGTGCGACAGACTGACCAGGCCGCCCCAGTTGGTGAAGACGCAGTAACTGCCGGTGTTACCGGCGACGGTCTGACGGAACAAGCTGACTTGTGAGTCAACTCAAAAGTCAACACGAAAAGGCAGTGAGAGTGAGAGTGACTGACCAGACCACCCCGGTTGGTGAAGATGCAGTAGCTGCCAACGAGGATGTTGCCGGCGATGGTCTGGCGGAACACCTCCACCCCCAACACGTCCGCTATGAGCTCCTCCGTCTCCTGGTGGTGGTAGCATGAGGCAGAGAGAGGCAGAGTGAGGAATGTAGTATTGAGGCAGAGGAATGCAGCACGAGGATGAACGCAGCAATAGGCAGGAAGCGCAGTGGACAGAAATGGTCTTACGAAACACCTCCATCCCCAACACGTCTGCTATCAGTTCCCTGTCTGCTGGTGGCGGCAGCACGAGGCAGAGAGAGGAATACAGTATGGAAAAGGGAGGGATGCAGTAGGGTGAAGAATGCAGCATGAGGCAGAAGAATACAGCAAGAGGTAGGAACCGCAGTCGACAGAGCGAGGGAGAGAGGAGGGAATGAGGCGCAAACAGGCATCAATGCCTTCAGTAACCACAACTGGAAAATGGCAGCGGCGAGAATAACTTGAGTAAAAAGGACGGTGATGTGGCAAGAAGGAGCGCGGGCTCCGAAAGCAGAGTGAAGGCCAGCAGCCAGCGGCGCAAGAAAAGCAAGGCTAGCAGGCGGCGGCGCTGAGGGAATACAAGCCAGAGGGAATACAAGCCAGAGTGAAGGGCTCATGTCACACGTGCGTGCGATCACCCACTGAACAATCCTCATCACTGCACCCATGCCTGGCTTGCGATGGAAGCGCACGGGCAGGCACGCGCACAAGAAACGTGACAGGCAGAACCACATGTATATTGTGACGGCGTAAGAGCGGAAACGGAAGGTGAGGAGGCGAGTGGGCGCTCAGGGAATACAAGCCAGAGTGAAGGGTTCATGTCTCACAGGTGAGATCACCCACTGAACAATCCTCATCACTGCACCCATGCCATGCCTGCCTTGCGAATCACATCCAGCTGGGCTAGGCTTGTCACCGACAGCAAACAACAAAGGCATGAGTAATGCACGAAACACAGTGGCCTGTCCAGTTGACCTACTCTGATTGGTTACCTGAGTGTCAGAGAAACCCGTCCAGAACAACAATATGCAGAAGGGTGAGCTTCATAGTGCAACGATACATGTGAGAGTGAGTGAGTCGAAAGAGAACGTGGGAGATGGCGGGAGTGAGAAGATGTCACTCACACTGTCAAGGAGTGGTGAGTGGGGGGAGGAGTCACAGTCACTCACTCTATCAACGAGTGGTCAATGAGTGGCGGGGTGTTGGTGTGACAATCACTCACTCTATCAAGGTCCGTGTGTCACCATGACTCACTCTATCAAGGTGGTCGCGTCACCATCACTCACTCTATCAAGGTGGTGGCGTCACCATCACTCACTCTATCAAGGTCCGTGTGGATGAGCGCCACATAGTCGTTGCAGCTCACACAGTTGCCCAGCGCTGACAGCCGCTCGTCCACTCGCTGCACCACCACCGACTCGGGCAGGGAGTTGCGCATGTGCAGCAGCTCTGATGGGGGAGAGTTGAAGGGGTGGGGAGGGGTAGGAGTTCTGGGTTTGAGTCGACTCAAAGCTCACACAGTCAGGGAGAACTGCGCAGGTGCAGCAAGAAATTGCGCAGGAGCAGCAGCCCAACGAGGGAACGGAGAAGAGAGAGAGAGAGGGGGGGGGGGGGGGGGGGAGAGGGGGGGGCGCGGTGGGGAGAGGAAGGTGACGCATGTGCAGCAGCCCGGAAGGGGGAAGGGGAGAGGGGTGGGGGGTGGGGGAGGGAGGGAGGGAGGGAGGGAGGAAGGTGACGCATGTGCAGCAGCACTAAAGGTGCGTGTGCAGGGCGGAGACGCGGAGGGGAAGGAAGGGCGGGGGGGTTTTGCTGGGAGAAAGGAGGTGAGGAGCGAATTTTGTCCGTGGCGCGCAGGCAGGAGGGAGAGGGAGAGGGAAGCCGCGAGATAGAGCTTGCAAAATGAGTTTAAATAAAAGGGCGGAGGAAACGGGGTGAGTGGGAGAGAGGAGTAATTGGGCACGGCGGTGGAAGAGGGAGGGGAAAGGGCATTTGGGTGGAAAAGGCAAGGGCATGATTGACCCCGTCGCCTCTGCGCGCTCTCTCACCTTGATCTG